TTATCTGAGTGTGTTTGTTGTGCAATGACAACAAATTTTTTTCAATTTATGTGAAATAAAAACTATTTCAATAACTTACCATGTGCGGCACTAAATTTTTGCGAGAAGCGGTTTCACGATTTTTTGTGTTTTGTGGGATCTGATTTTTGCAATTTGCAGAGACTGTTTTTGTGTGCAAGGAATTGTTAATTTTTGCAATTTTCTGCAAATTATGTTTGTCAAAAAAACATTTAAAACACATAATCACTCAGGGATTAATTATTAGTCTATAAGTATTGCAATAACATCATGTTCTCCTGTGGTTGATTGAAAATGGAGTAAATTTTGCAGAAATTTTTTTGGCGGGAATATTTTTTGTGGATCCTGAAGAAACCCGCAAAAATTGAGTGCCACATGGTATTTCAAACAAATGAAATGTTCTGCTCCACTACACTTGCATGTAAACAGCTACATCACTCATCCATTGCCTCGGGTATTTCATTACCATCTATAATAAGTGAATGAATGATTCCATCTTTTTTCTTGCCTGAGCTGATGGCTTTGACATAACATGTGTGATTTCCCCAGGTGAAATGAGTTTCTGTTCCATCATCTACAAATTCACCCTGAAATGATAAAATCATGCATTAAAAGTTAAAACATTTGTTGTGACGTAGCAGTCTCTCAATCAATCAAAAGAAAGGGAAAAATAAATTGAATGATATATTTTCTTATTACATGACTAAGACAGTTAAGAGGTCCAATAACTAAAATCAGCCAATCAGAATGCTTTATTGCCGGTCCGATATTTTCTAAATACTGGACCGGGTAAGTTTCTTACAAAGCTTACTTGGGACCGTACTGGGAGAAAATCGACCCTCGCTATTATCTGTATGGACCTCACTGTGCTCAATCTGTACTGTCAAGACCGAGGGCCGATTTCTCCCAGTATGGCCCTCGTGCTTGGTTAATAAGATATACATGTGTACATGTATTTATATGGCCAGGGAAAATTGTGTGTACTTACAGCAGTTTCCACTACAACTCCATTCACCCACACTTCCATGGTATCTTTCTCTAAAAAAATCAAACATTCTTTTCAAATAGACTTCTCAAAATCATTAATAACTCATCAAGTTAAAACAAAGGAAATCATAACCGTGTTGGTGGTTTGGATATCTGATCTTACTTTGCATAGATTTTTATGATTTTACTTATTTCTCTGTTTACTACTTAGTACAGTGCGGTATTAGTTTTGATAGTTATCTCAAACACTCGAGACAGGTGTTTCATCACATTTCCAAATGCTGAGAAGAAAGTTGAAAATATGACATGCAGTGTCATGTGGAGTCCGTGTCTATAAGCTTATGTGACCCATATGTGATAGATGTTTCTGAGTTTTTTCTTGAATGGCAAAGAAAAAAAAAACAGAAAACACCTGCCAATGCAAATATGGAAATCAAACATGCCATGATTTTTGCCTGGCTAAGACAACATGGCTTACAATGTAATTACTTCTCTCATAGCTGATGTACACTCTGGGTGTCAAATGTCTGCATCAGGAAATGTTTTAGCTGACGAAGCAAACCAGCTAATAACCTGCTATCTGGTTTGCACCTAACAGCCTTAAAAACGTCAAACTCCAATGAAATTACATATCGAAATCAAATATTATTACTCGGCTAAGTTGATTTATTAAAGCTTATCACAGATGCAAATTTTCAGAAATTTTCTGATCTGTCGTTGTGATGAAATATAATTTTGGACAGGCGCTATGAAAACAATTAAACCACAGCCACTTGGTTCTTGAAAATTAAACTTACCTAGGACCATTCGTGTCTCTATTCCATCTAAAAGAAACGTCCACACTTTAGCGGTTTTCTTGCGGTTTTCCACGAACTTTTTGAGCGGTTTCCCATCAACTTCAAGAGTGTATTCATACTGGAAGCCGCTCACTGCTTCAATATGGATCGTTGCTCTTTTTCCACCCACATCAAAACTCTCTTTGCCCACAAGTCTAAACATCCAATTATTCCGTATTACTTCGACATTGTCAACTACAATCACTCGCTTTCCAGTGGTGGTTCCATGTTCAAATTGAATTCTGTGTTTGCCATCTGCGAGGGCGATGTCCCAGGTCGCTACAACATCACGGTATTTATCATCGCTCATGCTCATATTTAGCGGGCAGTTATCAATCTCTTGACTACGAGATCAGGATATTTACAAGCAGGGATTAGACGATTCAACTGCAGAAGTGTAGCTTGCGTAACCAAGGAAAAGGCATAATATCTTAATTTTTCTAAATAAACAGAATATTTATTCCAAGTGTTTGAGTCGGCCTCGTTCTCAGATTCTCCTATTTTTCCTGGAAACGAGGTTGTCCGAGAAGACCCTGAGGACGAAAGTAGATTTCGCCGAAATGCATTATGGTATCGTTGTGGTCAGCGGTCTACGTTGAAAAAAAGCCGCGAAATTGACTGTTTGCGTAAGTTAGTAATTTGCACTCTTTTCCCATTTTCCTCGTGGTTTCTACATCGCAGATTTTAATATGAACTCGTCTAAAGGAAAGGTAATTCACTATTTCAAACTCTTTATGTTTCCTGATGTTCATTTTGTAAGCCATCAGTTCATAGTTAGAAACATCAACAAGCAAGTCGTTGCCGCCGGCTCGCCGACTAAAATTTAGCTGCATAAATTCAAGTTTTTAAGCTTACATGTTGTACGTTTTTGTACTTTTTGCCAACTGTTCTCTTTTGCGGATTTCAGCTGACAGATTTTCACGAAGCCGTCAGAAAAGAGGTTTGTGTTTCACCTGTCGGTTTTGACTTTTCATTTTCTTTGACGCTGCAGTAAAATTAAGGTATTCGCATATATTATCGGACACTATATATTATCGGACAGCCGAGAAGAAAGATACTCAAAAACGAAAAAAGAAAACGGAAGCCAGTTCCAACCTACTTCTTGGATAACAGTCATTCCATCGAGTCTACCGATCGAGTTTTGTTCAGATCCATTTGCGTGTTTCGGAGAAAAAATACTTTATTCGTAAACTTGAAGAACATGGCGTCTCTTCCGCGCATTAAAATAGCCAACCGCGCGAAGGAAATTTGAGAAAAAAGGCACGAAACTTGACCACAGGAGCTTCGATTTCAGCAGCTGAAGACCTCGCGCCATCTTGTATCCCATAAGCCATCCCGGCTGTTGTTTTGAGTGCTGACCGCTGACAGAGAGCTTTGTACCTCCAGCGAGCCCACGAATCTGTTATCGGACAGCCATACAAACCCTTGTAATTTCGATGCGAACTTTTGCGAACGCGCGCGATGTTTTCAAAGCCTTGAAATAGCTTCGCATGTTGAAAATTGATCTGTGAAGTAAGGAAAATCTTCCTGCGGCTACCTCAGTCGATCTACTAAGCATTTCTTTATTATTATTTTCAACCTAAAAACGCCACAATGTGGAACGTGTTTTCGCGTCCGATAATATATTTTGATGTCCGATAATAGGTTTCTTGACCTAACCTACTTTGTTATAGATTTTCTCTCAAAAGATTCCTGTGAAATGAAATTGAGAAGCGCTTATAGCTAGTCTATATTCTTCAACTTAAAGTGTAAGAAAAATTGTAATGAAACTCCTTCTCTTCTCCGTGAATTACATGACCAAACATAAAGTGTCCGATAATATATGCGAATACCTTAAGCTTATGATGTGGCTTTCAAATATTTCATGAACTTGTCGAATGTTTTCGTTTCATTTCAGGCCGAAGAATCGGTGAAAACTTTCTTCCCAGACAGGGTTTTTGAGTTGGACAAGCTCCTTAAGGTGCGATTGAGTTTGTACATGTTGTTTTGAGCGAATGTTCAATGATTCCTGTACCCACGTGCTTGTTGTTGACCTGATCTGTGGTTTATTAGTGATCGTACTGTTTTTTATTCATTTTTTGCTTGTTATTATTCAGTAGCTTGTATATTTTTCTCGTGGAAATGTGACATTTTTATTGTCATCCAATGTTTATATTTATATTATTATTAAATAATAATATCAATATTTTTATCAATATATTGCCTATAGATCGTTTTCACGTGACGTCACAGAATTAATTTCCGCCATGTTGGTGCACATCTGAGTCACGTGTTTCAGCTACTAATACATGCAAACATAGTCCAAAATTATAATTCCTTCCAGTTTAAATGGCTTCTAGCGAAAACAATTATATTCCTTCGTCTGATCCAGACAATATAGCCCAATGTCCAATATCGGATTACGCTAAAAAGCTGGATGTAAAAGTCGGAGAGCGCTATCTAAAGAAAATCTCGACTATTGGGATCGATTCGAATCGATCCTGTTTTGATAGAGGGGAAACGCTTCGAACCCGACTGCCTTCCGCCGGTTGAATCGACTGATTTGCTTTGCTATTTGGCTCTCGAGACCAGCTTTTACACGCAAAAGCAATTTCAATCTTTCCGAAGTCTCGAGGCCTACAACCAAATTTCATGTTCTGCCGAAACACGTTTCAGCTCACGATCTCTGGCTCTCTCATCTCGCTTCGCGGCAGCTTCTAGATCGGCTTGAAGCTTTTCGGCAGAATCCCATTTCTCATGACCTAGATTTTGGGTTGGAATCCAATCTGGATCGTAACTATCCCACAGTTTTGCCGCTTCTTCGGAGATAAAATGTTTGCCACAGACTCGGCCGTGCTCCAAAATGGTGTCTGTGAGGTCTTCTCTACTGATTGCAGACGGATATCCATTTGTTTCGCCTCTCCTCGGAACGTTTCCTCACTTCTTCACCTTGATTAGTTATAACTGAAGGTATTCTTGCCATAGAAACTCCTTTATCACAGACACTTTGGGTCCCACAGCCAAAAATCGAGCATAAAACCATTTTTTAGCTTAGTGTTTCGTGTTTACATGTGCATGTGATGTGCACCAATATGGCGGCCAATTGTAAGGTGGTCACGTGACTGAAAACGATCTATACTGAATTTTTCTAAATAACTGGCTTGCTTGCACTTTGTGGCAGACGCGGTGGCCTAATGGTTAGCGCGTTGGACTCCGGATCAAGTGGTCCGGGCTCAAGCCCTGGCCTAGGTCACTGTGTTGTGTTCTTGGGCAATATATTTTACTCTCACGTACAGTGCCTCTCTCTACCCAGGAGTATAAATGTGTACCGCGACAAAATCCTGGGGGGTTAACCTGTGATGGACTAGCATCCCATCCAGGGGAGTAGCAATACTCCTAGTCGCTTCATGCTACGGAAACCGGGATAAGCTCCAGGCCTACCTTGTTTGCACTTTGATATATATAGAGGACCCAGAAATGCAACAATAAATTCTATTCAACAGTCAAAGTTCAGGTTATCCAAAAGCTTAAAATGATACAATAAAAATATGCTATTTATTTTTTTAGTCGGACATGTTCAACACAGAGGCTGTGGTCAGAGTACAGAAAGGTGTAACAATGCCAGTCTACAAAAATGATGTTCACAATGACTGTGGAGGTGATTAACATCTAACTTCTCTCACTGTAATATTGCTACATTGACTATTGCAGTACAGTACCGCTCCAAAAGTAAGTTACCACTGTCTCGCGAGATGCGTCTAGTTTCTCAGTGAGACACGTCTCGTCTCTCTCGAGACGCATCTCGTCTCTTGAGAGATGCGCACGTTTAAAAAAACTGTAAGTACAGTCTCAATCATGAAACAAGATGCATCTTAAGAGTAAATGAGACGTGTTTTGCGAGAAACAAGATGAGAGGTGGTAACTTACTTTTGAATGGTACTGTAGTTGTAAGTAATAAATATTAGAGCCTGACAACTTAGGCATGGTGGTCTTAATGATAAGCATGTTACATCTGAGATTGGGAAATGAAGGGAGAACACAGTGCCTTTCCCACCTGAGGTATATAAATGGTTACTGGCAAATTGTTGGAGAAACTCAACAAGGTGCTTGGGGTGACTTGTAATGGATGAGCATCCCATGCAGCACGAGTAGCAGTATTCGGTCTCAGATCTGGCATCATCTCGGACCGGCTTCATATGTAGGTTGAGTTTGTCATTGGTTCTCTTCCTTGCTCAGAGTGGTTTTCGTCGGGTACTCCAGTTTTCCTCCCTCCCCAAAAACATTTCTAAATTCCAATTTGATCTGAAAACAGTGGATAGAAGAGTCACTCTGTGGATTTCCACTGAAATTCCCATTAATTATTTTATTTATTTTTATTACTGTACTTTGGAAGTGCCCGCGTTACTGATAAGCAGTCTCTGATTCCATGAACTGGAGCAGGATTACCATGTACTAACAAATTTTATTTTTTAAAATTATTTTAATTTTGTAGCCAAGCAATAAAAAGAGAAAGGTGGCCGATGCTCATATAAATGATGCAAAACATACTTCCCCATGTGAGTAACACAATGTTATTCTTCCGTTTAAAATTCAGTCTCAATTTCAGTCTTGTGTTATCAGTGTCGTCCTGTGTAATCATTTATAAGCAATGTCATTGCGTTACAATGTCCACACTAATACAATGTCACTGTTTGACTGTTTTACAAATTATTGATATTTGTATTGTAACTGATGAGACATGATTTTCTGTTTTCGTGTTTAGCTCTTCATGTCCATGTACCGTGCAACAAGGTAGGTTTGGTCTGAAATTGTAAAAAGTTCTAAATTACCTTTAATATTTCCAGTGGTGGATCCAGGGGGGGTCAGGGGGGTCCGGACAAAAATTTTTTTTGGGGTTGACCCCCAAACACCTCCAACGCACCTTTGAGCAATAACGTACTACTGCCGTCTACTTCCAAAAATTATCCTTCAATCTACTTCACATTTTCGGGAAAACCCTGGGACCCCCCCCCCCCCCCCCCCCCCCACACTATCAAAACATTCTGGATCCACCCCCTGATTTCTGTGTTCTATTGGTGGCTTTTAAGGCCGGGAAGGTTCTCATCATGTTCTTTGGCAAGTTACTTAATTTATTTTTTTAGTAACCAGGTAGAGTTACTAAAAGCTAAGCTGCGGACCGTAGTGACTTGCAATAACCTTGCCTTGCACATATGGGTGTATGGGTTGTGGATAGCAGAGCTTGTTGTAAGATAATATTTTCTTTATTATTTGGTGAATTCTTCTAGTATCTGTTGCAAGTAATTGAGCTGCTGAAACCCAAAATACAGACACTTATGGAGAAGTGTAACACAGTAAGTCATTGTATAGCCATTGTGACTGTTCCATTCGTTTCAAATGAACTTTGAAGTAGTTAGAGGACACCTTATAGGTCATGTGCTTAATTGGCAGTGACCCCTTACATAAGATTTCCCCTTGTCTGGTACAGGTGTCCTTTTACAGAAGGTGTCCTCTCCCCTTACACAAATGTACCCCTCCCCCCACAGTAGGTGTCCAAAAGTAACTTGGTTCCACTATATTTGCTTTTTGTGAACTTGGTTAACTTTACAATCACCATTGCTCAATTTGATAGCTTTCCAATTTGAACTGCAACATTTGAAAGTAAGAAAAACTGTTTACTGAGAGGGGTAATGTAGCATTGACTTACTAATCATGCTGTGTTGTTTGTTGTCAGGTAAAGATGTGGATTCAGTTGTTAATCCCCAGAATAGAAGATGGAAATAACTTTGGTGTTTCTATTCAGGTATAGTGCCGACACATGACCATGAGTTACTAGGCTAGTAGAGATGTGATCCTCTGATCTTTGTGCAGACTGATTGATTTTGGAATTTTCTGTTCAATTTAATTTCATTGTAGGAAGAAACTCTAAGTGAAGTACAGAGAATTGAAGGAGAAGCAGCAACATTTTTGGACCAGATATCAAGGTGATTTCTCTACTTATTTATTAATTATCTAAAGTGTTAACCAAATAAAATGGAACAAAATAATTAGTGTTGATTATTACACTATAATATAATTATTGTAATTGTCTAAGTACAGTCAAACCTCTTGTAAGCAGACACCCTTGGGACCAGAAAAAGTGTCCGCTTATGAGAGGTTAAAAATATAGTGTTTGTATGTAGCTGGGTACACGACTAAGTGTCCGCTTACGAGAGGTGTCCACCCATGGGAGGCGTCCATTAGAGGAGGTTGAACCGTACTTCTCTAGAGGTCCTCGTTCAAGCTCTGGCCTTTCTCCTGGTGTTGTGTTCTTGGACAAGACACTTTTCCGACACACTCAGTGTGACTCCATTTCCGTCAGCTTGACAAAATGTTGTCAAACCACCACATCCTATTTACTAATAGATGAACAGCACTTCTAGTTCAATATAAGAGTGAACCTTAAGTGTTTTTTTTTACATTTGCAGATATTATATCACAAGAGGAAAAATTGTTTCTAAGATCATAAAATACCCACAGTTGGTGAGTTTGAAATAAATTGTTTATTATACATCAGCCATTTCCTAACTCCCACTGTTAATAAGGGTGAACATTGGGACTGCAAAGACCTATATTTAACAAATAAAGAAGGCAAAGCCATGTAATTTGGGAACACAAGATAAATTTAGAGAACACAGGCGAGTGTTAATTCTAAATTTCTCAAGTGTTCTCAAATAACCGGAGTGTTTTATAACATTATTGCTTTGTTTATTTAACAGGATGACTACAGACAAGCTGTTGTTGAGTTAGATGAAAAGGAGTTCACTAGTTTACGCCTCTGTTGCTGTGAGCTGCGAAATCATTATGTAAGGCGCTATCCATTCAAATTATCTTTAATTCAATTCTTCTTCATTTGTCTGTTAACACTCCTGATACACTGTATTTATGACTTTCTGATGTAACATGTTTTGACCAGAAGAGGTAATATACAAGATTGTAAATGTCTCTGCATTGTTCTAATTATTGCTCAAAGGAATGACATGCAATTAACTTTAAATATTACATGTACAACTTACAAATTCATGTAGAAATTGCAGTTATGTTTTAAAACGTTTGTACTGAAACCTGTTTTAATCTCGTTTTACAGCTTTCACTACATGATACCATCACAAAGAATTTGGACAAGATCAAGAAACCTCGCACTAACAATGCAGACTCTCTGTATTGAATGCTTTTTACTTAATTATTATTTTCATTATCGCTGTTTCCCACCGTAAAAAGTTGAACTTGTTTTCACCAATAAACATTGTCAACATGTCAATACACAAGCTTGCCAAAACCTGTTACTTGAATAAATATTTTATTTGAATGAAGATTAATAATTATTATTAATAATAGAAGCTTATTTTTTTAGATACCTATTACTGTACAATATTGTGTCTTCTACCCTGTTCATGCCAGCTAAATATGTTTTAGTAAACCAAGTTTTGAAAAATTGAAAACAAGTGACAGAAAACTTCACGAGCCTTAATTCTATTCAAGGGTAACATTACAAATATGTAGCTCCCATGTATGGTTTAATAATATGTGAACTTTGAAGACAGTAAAACTCACTCAGTAATGTTTGTGTAATCAATTTAATAAGCTCTTGGTGTGAACAGTATTTTAATAGAGTTAATGTGAGCAGGGTTTTCCTTTACTTAGAGTTTGTGTAGAAAAATTGAAAACAGACATGGAAATCAACAAAAAATTCTTAAGAAACCCAAGGATTGTGAAGGACAGTCATGCTCACAGGCGGCGCAAATTGCCTCTCGCCTGCACAAAAAGGAAAACCCTGAGTTATATTATATTAATATATAGGCAGTAACGTTACTTCAATCAGCACTGGCAGATTTGTTTATGTGGATTTATTTAGCATTTACAACACTTCAGAGCCTATATCAATAATTAGTGAATTAGAATCCAGCCATTTCAAACAGCAGTTATCTTGAATTTTCCATTATTTTGAACTGACTGAAGTGTCTCGTGATAAACGTTTTAAGGTGGCACATGACTGCAGATTTTATTTATGAACTTTGAAGCCCCCCATATTAAGTTTTCTCATTTCTCCACCCCAGACCTGGCACTCTCAACTTTTTATTTTTTCGTGCTTCCATGGAAATTTACACTTTTAATAATTTATTGAAATAGGGCCTCCAAAGTACTTCAAAACACCACCTTCCTAATGTTCCCCCTGGTTTCTCCTCTAACACATGTGGATCAAGAGAGTTCAACTCTTATTTAAA